AAGGAGAAGAAGAAGAAGAAGAAGAAGAAGAAGAAGAAGAAGAAGAAGAAGAAGAAGAAGAAGAAGAAGAAGAAGAAGAAGAAAAAGGAGGAGGAGGAGGAGGAAGAAGAAAACTCTTATTTGAAGAGAAGAAGCAAACTCTTATTTGAGCTGATTGAGTCTTTCCTGACCTTATAATCTTGCAGTAGTTCCTTCATTGATTACAGAAAAAAGAAGAGGAAGAAGAGGAAGAAGAAGGAGGAGGAGGAGGAGGAAGAAGAAGAAGAAGAAGATGACGACGACAACAGCAAACTCTTATTTGAGCTGATTGAGTCTTTCCTGACCTGGACCCTGTTTACCCTCCAGCCCCATGCTCCCACACCCCTCAAATCCAGTCTATGTACTACACCTGCTGAGCATTTCCCAGTTCCTAAATGCCCCCAGACCTTGTGCACAGCATCCCCTCTGCCATTCCCTATAGTGTCTTCCCAACCAGCTAGTAGATGTTTCCTTTCCTTTAAGACTCAGATGAAACAGTGCTGGCAAATTCTCACCTTCTTCCCTGCATAGAGTTGGGCACTCTTTTCTCTGTGCCCCTCTGAACCCTATACAGATATCTGTCCTAGTACTTGTAGCAGTCTATGGTTTTCTTTTTCCATGATGGTCTGGCTTCTTGGAAGCAGAAACCATTTCTCATTTGTCTTTGTAGGCATCTTTTGTACCTAGTGATGTCTGGCACCAAGAAAGTGTGTGATGTATGTATTTAGAGTGGAGAGATGAGTGAATGGTATCATATAGGCAGAAGTGCCTCTGGAGGCCCTATTTGGCATTATGATTATATAGCTGAATGTTCTAGCATTTTTTTAAAAAAATAATCACTTGCTCATAGAAAAAACAGGAGCCTCTAAAGCTTCTTATTTCTAGGTCATTTTGTAACCCAAAATTTAAAAAAGAACTGTTGATGTGAAAAGGAAATTGAAAGTAGTGAAGTATAAGCCTCTTCTCCCACCCACCTTAATCTGCATATCAAGGGGCAAACAAGTGGGTAGGACTTTACTTCTCAATCTAATGGGGACAGTGTCCCTGTGTCCTGATGTGAGGTGGAGTCTGGCCTTCTCCCTCTGCTTCCTGACCTAGCTGCTGCTACTTGGCACAGAACTGAAGGGGTTCCCAGCTCTTTTCTGGAGTACTGAGACCTCTCATTGCTTTTCCCCTTTCCCAAGCCTTGATTCCAGAAATCCCTAGACCTGAGCTCCTGGGCGGGAATCAGCTGGTGATCATTGTGGGGATTGTCTGTGCCACTCTCCTGCTGTTCCCTGTTTTGATATTGATTGTGAAGAGGACCCACTGGAATAAGAGGTACAGGGCTTTTCCTCTTGGGTTGGGAGGCTGGGGATGCAGGACTGCCTCTAACTCAATATGGAAATGAAGTGATAGGACCCAACCTGTGCCATTCTCAAAGGAGTAGGTATTTTCATAGAATCAAATGATTGTCACATTAGATTTCATCATAGATGGCTCTATTCCTTTGCTCACCTGAAAAGATTTGGACATCCTACATCATCCTCACTGGTGTTATACAGAGGTTACAAACTCCCTTACAAATGGAGGTCTAAGTGGAGCATAATTTCGAACATAAATCTTGGCTGGAGTTATGGCTCAGTGGTAGAGCACTTGCCTACCATGCCGGATTCCATCCTTAGCACTACAAAGAAAAAAAATGCATATAAATCTGTGCAAGAACTGTATCATTCACTATTTGAGAAGAAGGATTCTTATATTATCCCCACTGTACACTTCATATTGAAGTTTAGATCTTGAGCATTGCCAATGGTATTATTTAAAGAACTATATTCTAATTCTGAGAGGTTGTTTTTGAATGGATGACCCTAGGTTCTAAATAAATTATTGTCAAATGTGTTTTTAAAGACCTGAATTTTATCAGAAATTCTCCCAGGGTCACAGAAATACCCACATGCTCTACTGTGGATGCTAGAGTTTCATTGACTGTAGGCAGGTTCGTGTCCCTCAGTTTACCCAACTGGAATATGTTGGTAGGGCAAGTTTATTCTCTTGTTGAAATCATATCAGTGAGAAAGGGCCCTGCAAAGACCAAGTAATGCTGACTTTTTAAAAAAGTTTAATACTGGAATCAAACCAAGAACCTGGCACATGCTAGGCAAGTGTGCTACCACCAGACCCATAATGCTGACTTTTGAGTGACCTTTCCCAATAGAATTTGGATTCTACAGAAATTACATGTGCCTGCTAAGTTTGCAATCCCCAAGTCTCTCTGGTTTGGCTTGGAACTTGGTTGACCTTTCTGAAGGTCTTTCCTCTGGGTAGCTGGGAACATAGAACCAAGAGCTACACATGTGGGTTTCACTATCAGCTTAATTCACCCTCATCAGTTTCCCTCAAGATGAAGGGCAGTATTTCTCTGTCTAGTAGTTTATTTTAATGAAATATTAAAACTTATCTGCTGAGATTTGTGCATAAATATGAGTGCTACAGCTGGGTGCATAGCACATATGTGTAATTCCAGTGGCTCTGGAGGCTGAGGTAGGAGGACCAGAAGTTCAAGGTGCCTCAGCAAATTAGCGAGGCCCTAAGCAACATAGACTCTGTCTCAAAATAAAAAATGAAAAAGAAAAAGGCTGGGGATGTGCCTCAGAGGTTAAGCACCCCTGGATTTAATCCCCAGTACCAGAAAAAAAAAATTGTCTAGTTAACCAGTGTCTTTCCAAACTTAGGCTATAGTGGCATCTGTTTAAAGGACAGAAAACATCTAAGAGTTTAGGCCCAAGACAAATATTTATAGACTGACATTTTTAGTTTTCATTGTCTGGACTGCAGATATTATTTCTTTTAACAATCCAGAAATTTCAAAAAGGGCTGGGAATGTGGCTCAGTGGTTAAATGCACCCCCCCCCTCGAAAAAGCACTGCAACATTGTTTATAAATGAAAAGTTGGGATCATCATTACTGTCTATCAGAAAGGCAAGGCAATGATTCAGTGAATGGTAACAGTGGTAGGGTCTTTAAGATAAAGGAAATGCATAAATATAGACATTTCCAACTGTCTATATTTATGCATTATTTGATTCATTTTACAATGAGAATATAAAACTTTACAATCAGAAAATGTGATTGAAAAATTTCCACTTTGAAACAGATATATATATATATTTTTTTCTAGCTTATACCCGATTTTTCTTTTCTTTTAAAATCTCTGCCTCAGGCCAAAACAATAAAAGAAGTACATTTAGTGGCAGTTGCAGAAGGCAAATGGTCAAGAGATCTGAGATGAGTGGCCAGGTTCACAGCCAGGGTGAAGTGCCCTCAGGGAGAGGCTAGAAGTCTTTGGAACTGGGATCTTGCCTAGCGTGTGCTGCCCCCTGCTGGTTCAGATACATTTTCCTGGTCCTAAGAAATGCCCAAAGGATGATTAAAGTCAAGCAGATAAAGTTGAATGGTTCCTTCTCTATTCATTTACTCAAAATTGCATCTCCCATTAGGGACAGAAAGTTGTTGGAGTGATAATAGAGAAGGTGAAGCTGATTTTCAGCCCAAACCATCTCCAGAATGATTTATTTTTCTTTTTTATTTTTAAAATTATTTTTAAAAATTATTTTTAAAATTATTTTTAAAATTATTTTTAAAAATAATTTCAGTTGTAGATGGACACAATGCCTTTATTTATTTTTATGTGGTATTGAGGATGGAACCCAGTGCTTCACATGTGATAGACAAGCACTCTTTCACTGAGCCACAACCCCAGACCCCAGAACAGTTTCTTGCTCTCCAGTAAGAGATGCCCTGAGTATAGGAGTCTGGAGAAAATGGTTCTTCTGTCAGAGTCTCTTTCCTCACAAGGCAGTGTGGGGCGGGATTGGGGGGTGGGCTCTCATGTAGGCATGCAGGAATTAATTAATGGTGTTCGCTGGTTAATTCCATGTGCTTTTCACATGCTTTGCAGTTCACTAAATTCTACAGCCTTTGTTAAAAGCCTGGAGAACATGGAGAAGGCCAATCCAGAGGTAAGAGAATTCTGCCTTTTGTTCTCTGAAAGGGACTTGGGTGCATGTGTGTCCAGCATGAAAAACTGGGGTTGATACAGGGTGTCCTTATCATTGTCATTCCCCTGGGAACCATGTATTATACTTTGTGTGTCTCAGCTCACAGGCCTGTGCTTGCACACAGCAGCAACTCAGGAAGGCCCTATCACTGCAAAAGGGGTGGTTGAAGAGTGATGGGACTGGGCAGGCTGGGCCAGACCAGTCCTGGATGGCAGGTGCTGAGGAAGGGGCACTGGACTTGGACTCAGAAACCAGCACCACCTCCCAGAACCACCTCAGCAAGTTGAGGATGAGGATGAAGATAATCTGCCCTGCCTCCTCCTCCGTGTCGTTGTAAGGCTCAAATAAAATGATAGGCAGCTGAACCTGGTGGTGCATGTCTGTAATCCCAGTGATTCGGGAGGCTGAGGCAGGAGAATAGTGAGTTTGCCCAGCCTCAGCAATTTACTGAGACTCTGCCTCAATCAATCAATTAATAAAACGGGCTGGGGGGTATAATTCAGTGGTAAAGAGCCTCTCAGTTCAATCCCTAATACCAAAAAAAAGTGCTTCATAATACATGAAGCATTGAGTAAATATGAGGGGTAATTATGATACATTTAGTAGTTGAGGAGTTAATGGTTAAGATGAAGTATTCAGGAACCTTTAGAAAAAGAGGACCAACAAGAACGTCCCCCTCCATACTGGTGTGTAACAGAGTTATAAACAGGGACTGAGAGCCAGGTGCAGTGGTGCAAGCCTGTAATCTCAGTGGCAGTGGCTTGGGAGGCTATGGCAGGAGAATCACAAGTTCAAAGCCAGCCTTAGCAATGTCGAGGCGCTAAGCAACTCAGGGAGACCCCTAATAAAATACAAAATAGGGCTGGGGATGTGGTTCAGTGTTCGAGTGCCCCTGAGTTCAATCCCTGGAACCAAACCAAACAAAACAAAAATGAGTGACTGAGAAATGGATTGATAGCTCTGAATTTCTATTTTCTCTTCTTTTTTCTCCTCCTCCCTTCCTCTCTCCTTTCCTTTTCTCTAACTTTTAGAAACTCTTTGAATAGTTACCTTTCTGTCTTTTGTGCTAGTTTTGTCCCAAGAGGACTTTTTCCCAACATGGTGCAGCAGCCTCTAGAAGCCCAGAATTTGTCATTGGATGATATTGTTTTTCCAAACAGTGACAGGACTGTGAATCACTAAGTGCCACCGCCTCACAGATGTGAGATTCAGTGAGGGCTGTTCCTGCCATATAAACCCTCCAAGATGATGACGATTAGCTGCTAATCAATGCCATCCTGCTATGACTCTAATTAGAAAGAAATGTCCACAGAATACAAGTAATTTAGCAAGATAAGGGGTCCCTGCTGCTAACTCCATGCCCAGTGAAGCAAAGAATCTCAACCCTTTGCTGCTGAGTGCTTTCAAGCCTGAAGGCTCAATTATGGTTCTTGACGATCATTCTCTGGCTCTCAGTAACCCTCTGAACTTAAGCATTTGGATGACTGATGCCCTGTGAATGGGAGTGGGTAGACTTATTCCTGGATATGAGATTTGCTTGATTTTTAGGAATTTTTTTTACACTTTTTTCTCCCTCTAGAAACACGTATACTCCTCTATAACTACACAGGAAGTGAGGGAGGAAGAAGAACCAAGTGGGAAATCAGAGGCCATCTACATGACCATGGTGAGGATGGTTCTGGGCCACAGAAGGGGCTGGGAAGGGTACGGCAACCGTGGGCGGCAGATGTGTGACTAGATCACCCAGGGAGGCTGTTTGCTGAGGTCAGAGATTTTTCTAAGTAGTAGGAAGTCAGAGAAAATAAACTCTGCTGGATAAAAGTGACTTGTCAAACTTGTCTTTGTACCCAATTTTGAGGATTAAAGTCATCACTAGAGGTGACAAGTGACTTCACTGGGAGCAGGGAGAGGTCTTCGCCTCATTAGCACAGCCCTGATTAAACAAGACCTAATAAAGAGAGTGTGTTAGGATCTTTGGACAAGTATTACACTAAAAGGGATTATTTTTTTCTATCAAAAGGCCAAAGTAGAGTCCTTTGACCCTTGGAGTTTTCAATTCTGTGCCTTCTTAATGCTTTTGCGTATTCTGCTGGCACATGTAGTCTGCATGCTGAATTTCAGAGAATAGCATGGAGTCTGATTCCTACTTTTTCTTGGCTCAGACTTCTGTGGCTCTGCAGTGAATAGGGGTAGGGACAAAAGGAGTCAGCTGGCAATAACTTGATGCTATTTGTAGACTAATTATAGGCACCTGGCCCATGAAGGAGCAGTGTTCTGCTGGGGTCAGAAAGGCTGGCTTCCTGTGCTATGGAATGACGGGTTGTGTTTGTTCTTGTCATTCCGTCCAGAGGACACATGACTCCCAGCTGACTGCAGCAGAGAAAATGTGAGATCAGGGGAGTGTGAGGTCAGGGACCTGGCCTGGTTCCACCAAGTGAAACAGGAGTCCTGCTCTGAAGTTGCTGTTGAATAGACTCATTTTTTTTCCTACCTCCTTCCCCCGTTATTGCCATGTGATGCTCCAGTAATTGGTTGGGCCTCCCTGGCCTTCACAGACCTGCTGATGTGGCTACGGCTAGGTGTGTCACCCACTAGGGTGTTTGCAGAAGGTCTTAAGGTGGAGATGATGTAAGTGTGACAATGCTCTCATGGCTGCCTTCCCCATGTATCACAACTGCTGTGGGGACAGCACGTCTCCTTAAACACATCTAATAGAGGGTGGGTGAGGAGAGGCCAGGGCCACAAACTCAGAGGCCTTCAAGTTAATTGAGAACATTCTATGCCAAACTAAATAAGCCTGTGGATGAATTCTGGATTGCAGGACACTTGGATGAGACCTCAAGTGCAGAGGTGTTCTCTATAGAGAGCAAGAGTACAGAAACTCGGATTTTTTTTTCTACCAGGGATTGAACCCAGGGGGCGCTCTACTACTGAGCTAAATCCCCAGCCCTTATTATTTATTTATTTATTTTTTATTTTGAGCTAGGGTCTCGCTAAGTTACTGAGCCTGGCCTTGAATGTGCTTCCCCCTGTCTCAGTTTCCTGAGTTTTTGAGATTACTGACATGCACAATTATGTATGACTAAGAACTTTTGATTTTTGTTGTTGGCTTCAATTAAATTTACTTAAATGTATAGTTATTTCTCTGTATCTGTGTTTTCTTCATCTATGGATTCAACCAACAATGGACTGAAAGTAGTTGGGGAAAAGTTGCAGACGGTTTTTCTTGTCACTGTTCCCTAGACAATACAGCATAACACTAATTTACATAGTATTTCCATTACATTAAGTATTATAAGTAATCTGGAGATGATTTGAAGTGAACAGGAGGATGGATGTAGGTTATATGTAAATACTACAACTCCTTTTATATGAGGGAGTTGAGTGTCCCTGGATTTTGGTATCTGTGGATTCTTGGAACAGATCTCCCATAGATTCCCAGCACCATGCTGATCTCCATTTCTAAAACAGGACACACACTGGTTCAGATCACAAGCTTTGGAGCCGGGCACACCTGGCTCCAGCTCCTGACGCTTAGCAGCAAGATGTTAACTTAGGCAGGTCATTTAGCCTCTCTGAACCTCAATTTCCTTATCCTTAAAATGGAAATAATAATTCCTACCTTCCCAGGGATGAGGACCAAATAGGACAATGCATGTGAAATTCAGTACAGGGCCAGGAACAGAAAACAGCTTTCCTTCCTTCCTTCCTTCCTTCCTTCCTTCCTTCCTTCCTTCCTTCCTTCCTTCCTTCCTTCCTTCCT